GAAAATGTCATGATTACATCACACTGGCGTGCCAGCGGACCTCTAAGGGTCAACAACCTCCTGACCTTTTCTCAACCACCACCATCCATACAAACTTTCCACTCATGTTTTCTTTCTCTTTTCAGGTTTTCTCATACGTGGCAACTTTCCTCTACTTCATCCACACTATCCTGTCTGCCATCCGATGGAAATCTTTCTAGAGGTTTCCTCCCTGTAGAGCTTCAGAAGCGGCACCAGAACAAAACTGATTTTTATTCTTGTACGTAAAGCTGTGGCACACTGACATGAAGGGACGGTTGACAGTGATGGGGACTCTCCGATTGTAGTTTTGACTTTTTACTTCTTACTGGAAGAGGAAGCTGTGGAGCAACATCTGGTTCAGCACAACATCTCACAGTGTCCAGCGCTTGGAAGCAGGATGTGAATGCACAGCTGAGACTGTACAGCCAGCCAACCCTGATGCTTTGTGTCACAGACCTGCTTCATCTCTTCTGCTAATGGATCCAGACAACTTCCAGACAACTTACATCACACAGTAACTGTCTCTACTAAGGCTGATGTAGATGTGATGAGAGCACAAGAAAACACAGAATACACATATGGACAGATAAATAATATGATAATAAGTTCTGATCCACAAGTTTTTAGTTTCTGGATTCTCCTTAAATCTTTGATTTGGTGTGAAAAGCTGGACCGGTTATTGGAAAGAAACTATTGGAGAAGGTTGAGGAAAATGATAGAAAATGGTGGACATCCCGTCAGACATCTGAGACCTAAAGAGATACAGCGCTGTAGTTTGGTATTCTTGTTTTACTCTCAGCTGATTAGAGAAAGGGCATAGTTAGGTTGTTTTTATATATTTTTTAATAAATTTATTTACATTGTCAAATAGAATAAAGCTGAATGAATAAGTTGTGGATCAGACTTCAGCCAGGATTGTAAATGATGCTCCTTTTTTTGCTTTTGTAATGTAACTGTCAGCTTCATTTTTGTATTTTTTTGGAATTAATGAATTCATTGAACATGAATAAATGTGTCTGTTTTGAAAAATTTAAAAGTATTCTTTTTATCTTCTTTTTTTTAGCCTTGTGTTCATTTGCAGTGTAGGGAAAATGTTTGCTCAGATGGTTTTTCAATGCTCATGCAGATTGTTACAAAATCTAACTGATATTCGACCATTGAAAGACTCAGATCAGATTACTATAACAATGCAGCATATGAGGCACCTCTTATTGTGCTGCCAGGAAGAATCTCAGGAATGTTCGGGGAAATTATTTAAATTGAAAATTATTCATGAATACTCAGTAGCTGGAATCTATGCAAGTTAGGGACCGGAATGTGAACAACATAACAGTGGAGGCACTGAACTTGTATTTATTTACATTTATTAAACTACCAACATTTATTAAGCTAACAACACAATAACAACTACACTTTAAAAGGTAATACCTATGCTTACTTGAATGTGGCTCAGGTGGTAGAGCGGGTTGGTCAATGATCAGAAGGTTGGTGGTTTGATTCCGCCCTGTAACCTGTGTCAAGACGCTTCACCCACTTTGCCTGGTGTGAATGCGTGTGAATGTTTTTTTGTGAGGTGGTGGTTGGAGGGGCCATAACGCCTCTGTCAGTGCAGCTGTGGCTACAATCGTAGCTACCACCACTGGGATGAATGTGTGTGAATGAATAATTGACATTGCAAAGCATCTTTGAGCATCTGCCGGAAGGAGGATTGTTGTGGTTTATCGCGTTATCTAAGCTCTGGGAGTTTGGATAGTTTAACTTTGTTGTCAGTGCGGTGGCAGGGGAAGACTTTCTCTTGGTGTTTTCTGAAGATCCATGATGGTCCGGTTGTATATTTTGTGTGGAAGGACACACCAGAAGATGCGTCAGGAGTACGGTAGCACTCTGATCAATTCTGAATGCATTGAGAGAGTGAGCTGGCTTTTGTGGAGGTTTGCTTAGTACCACCATCAGCGCTGCAGCGAGTGGAAGTTGAGGAGGAAGTAATTCCATTTTGGTCTTCCCTGAGAAGAGCCTCCCAGGTTGTAGCTGCACCATTAGGGCAAGCAATTGGATGAGGAGTGTCTGATGCAGTTGGAGAACAGAAATAGAAGTTCTATTTCAAGTCGCCTCTTCGGAATGGGCGACGCGGTTAATGGCTTTTTTGGATTGATGATGATCCACTCATCTCCTGGGTGTTGCTGTGGATTAGGCTGATCGTTATAGAGGACATCTGGAGGAGGGTTATGCTATGTCTCCACAGGATCCGTTGTTTTCTCCCTTCCCATTCATTGTATTTGTGAAACACACCGCGTCTTGTTCTGGAGCGTCGTGGGGCATTTCGAGCGCAGTGTTGCCCACGAGCTGCCTGCAGCTCATTTGCATAAAGTAGATTTGACTTCTGCTTTATGCAAATGAGGTGCAGGGAGCGGCGATCCGACTCCTCTCGAAACTTTCGTAAAAAAGCTCAACTATCCATTGTTGAACTAAAATGAGAACAGATTCAGCAACTGCATTGCTAATGTTTTCAGAAATACTTTTCGCGAAACAGTTTTCATAATAAAAGAGAAAGTGGCCGAGCCACCATGTTGGTCTGGTTTGAAATCCCGGCGCACACCACTAGCAAGTCGATGCATTTGTCCAATCAGGTGCAGGCAGGATAGTACGAGAAGAAGCTGAGGTCTTCAGGAGTTCAGTATCGCCATGGACGAGCAGCTGATCATCGCTGTATCTGGTCACCCGGTGTTGTATAACACTATGCTGGCTTCCTATAGGAGCACCACACAGAGGAATGATGCTTGGAGACTCATTGCTGAGGCTGTTGGTCATCCTGGTGGGTTAAAACTATTTATTTGTCTGAAGTCTATGTTATTGTACGTAAGTAGTTAAAAAGTGCAAATACTAAATTACTTCATTAGTACAGCACGCGTACATGGTATGAAAACTTTTTCATTTTTAAATTTAGGCAAGTTACACTTTACATTCCTGTCAGCAGCTACAAAGTTATTACAGGTCATTTAAAGCTAGCACTCCTGCTGTGATATCTGTTGGATACCAGACAAGATACTTTTGGACTAAAATAGAAGGTTACATGGTCAGATTATATTGACAATTTAAGTCTGAATTTCTGAGGTGGCGCATACTGAACTCATTTTTTATTCTTCCTGTGTTCTCATTAGAAACTCTCTACCCCACAAAGCGGAAAAACCTCAGGGAGCACTTTAAAAAGGAGCTCAATGAGGAGAGGGAGAGGCACAGGAGTGGAGCTGGGGCCTCCACAAGCGGTATCAAAACGGAAATCACGGCCATATGGTGCGACATGGCCGTGATGTTTTTTTTGATACCGTTATTGGAGAAAAGGGAAATTTTATCCAATTTACAGAGGAGAGACCCAGCTCCTCCTGGTGTCAGCCACCCCTCCTGCTCCCAAACAAGCCAGGTCTCCATCCCCCCAACCAGTTAGGTGTCCATCCCTCAGGCAAGCCAGGTCTCCATCCCCCCAACCAGCCAGCCCACTGGCAGTATTTTTCCGTCGAGCCAGGTGTCTCTCCCCGAAACCAGCCAGCCCACTGGCAGTACTATTCCGCTGACCCAGGTTTTTGTAGACACACAACAACAGCCACCATCCCAACAGTCCTCAGAAACTCATCCTCCCCCAGCATCTTTCCAGATCCTGAGGAGGTCTCCACCTCCACCCTTCCCTCCAGTGTCTCCATTTAGGTGCCATTCTCTGTTCCCCATACTGTGTGGAGAAAGAATCCAATCAATCCAGTCCAATCCAACTTTATTTGTAAAGCACTTTTAAAACAATTACAGTTGGCCAAAGTGCTGTACACAATATATAAAAATACATCAAAAAAGTACATAATAAGTACATAAAATTAAAAATAATGAAAAACATAAAACAACAATGAAATAGAACATAAATAAACAGGATCATTGTCTCAAAAAGTGTCAAAGGCCAAGGAAAAGAGGTGGGTTTTAAGAAGAGATTTAAAATTAGACAGAGAAGAGTCCTGTCTAATGTGCAGAGACAGACTGTTCCATAGTTTTGGAGCTGCAACAGCGAAGGCATTGTCCCCTCTGAGCCTCCACTTAGTTTTAGGAACACCCAAGAGGAGCTGATCAGCTGACCTGAGGGAGTAAGTGGGAGTGTAAATGTGTAGTAGCTCAGAGAGGTAGGGCAGGGCAAGACCATTTAAGGATTTAGAAGCAAAAGTAGACAAGAGCGGAGCCACCAATGAGCCAATTAAGGAGATGCACTGGAAAAGAAGTCCCTCTACCGCTTACACTCCCTCCGCCACCACCACAACAAACAAATTCACAACAAACAGACACACACCCACAACCCCCACACCCATTCCCACAGAGATTTTTTTGGGAGCAGCCAGGACATTCCCAATCCCAAATTTGAGTTACGACTGAATGGTGGCATTTTTCTCTGTTATACTGTGTTCACACCAGACGTGATTAAAATCATTCGCTCGAATGATTTACATGTAAAGTCAATTTGAAGACGTGATTAGACACGAGTACATGTCCCGTGACGCGAATAGCCCAGTGCGAATGATACGTATTAAGCGAGTTATTCGCACGAATACTCCCTGAACGTCCCACATAGCAGGATGTGGTAGCTGCTGCTTGGTGGCTGTGGTGCTCTGACAGGTGCGTGACCAAAAATGACTTTAAAAATAATAAACTAGGGCGTTCTCATGTCACATTTGTCCGAGGTTAAACCCAGTTACATGTACTCTACACGCGGTCTTTTCTATGAGCAGCCTTTTCTCCATTGATAGCACGGCTGATGTGTTAGGCCATCATAACAGTAGCTGTCACCTAGTGGGAGAGGAGGGGAAAGGCCGTGTGACACTGTCAGAAAGCGCAGTCGTAAGAACGCCAAAGGATAGCTTTGATATCCAACCACAGAATATAAAGGCAAATAAAGACAAAATTATTTGGCTGACAGCAAAAGTGGATGAGTCCGGGACGTACCAAGCTGCAGCTGCCAATCAGAGCCCGGGCTGAGGTCACATGATCAGGAAAAGAACTACATACACACTCATGTGGCCGGCGCCCCATATCCAGGAAGTGTCAAATTAGTAAACACGCAGTAAAGACTAATATTAAATCTGTTAATAACACAAATATTAATATAGCATTATTATGTTGTCATTAATTCAGATTTATTTTTATGTTTGAGAACTACTTTTTATCTGGTCATTAGTCGTGGGGCAGCACCCCTGCGCCCTGTATGAACCAGCCGCCACTAGGTCAGAGCCCATCTTTTATGGGAGAAGATGACTGTATGCAGGTGAGCTACTCCCTGCCACCGGTGTCCTCATTCACCTGATTATTGAATGAGAAGATTCCACACATGCGCCTCACTCATGACCACATTAAGGGAAAGGGGGAAAGAGGGAGCGGGAAAGTTGCCAACTCAGCAGAGGTGGAGGTGGAGGGCATGACAGCTAGCAGTGTAAAAAGGATGGCTTGGTCAGAAGGTCTGTTGGATATTTTGGTCCAGAACAGTTACCACTGCTGCTCTGAAGGGCTTTACTGCACTCTGACTCGGGGATACAAACATGATGCAACACAATCTCAGTTTAGAGTATTTGGTGAAATATAGGTGGATACAAGTTACACCTGTCCTATGGATGTCATCTTCCACACCCACATCCTGCTGGTTTGGGGCTGTTCTACCTGCTGCTGCTCCCTGGGTGGTACTGTCATTCTAATAGACCTACCTACATTTTACAGCATTGTGACGTTAAACACCACGTTACCAGGGGAGACGTGGAGTCAATAACAAAAACGGTGAAGAAACATGCATGACAGGAGCAACCAAAGGCAAGTTTACATTTAGAGTTGTGAACAAAAGTTTACATACACTTGTAAAGAAGAATTCCAATTTTGATGGAAAGATGGAAATGTATGTGTCTTGGTCACAAAAAACAAACAATAAAGCATTGTGGTTCTTTTATAGATTTATTGTAAGTCTTTTAT